AAAAAATCCACAGCTTTCTTCAGGGTCTTCTTCATTTGTCAAGTGCTCAGGGGGTCTAAAGCTTTGAAGGAATATGGGGCCCTCCAGCAAAATAATTTTCAAATAGGTCATGAAGAAAAGTAATTATGTTCTGCCCCATAGCATCGGTTGTCCTATATTGTATGGTAAATGGTTTCTGTCAGCTGCCTGACTCAGAACATTAGTACTCTGATCTCTCTTGAAATATTATCAGTTCTGCCTTCCTCTCTCTTTCATCTGACACTTGTTTACTACTTCCATTTCTACTCTCCAGGTGCAGGACCTTTTTATTTTTTCACCTGGACTGCTATAACAGCTTCCAAACTGCCTTAATTTTGGTCTTTCCCCTCATCCTTAGGCTGAGACAAACCTACCAGATAAAACACGAGCAACTATGACTCCTTCGTTGCCCAACTCAGAAGCCTCATTGGCTCTCCAGTGCCTACAAAGAACATTTAAACTCTTCAAACAATAATGAAATTTCCTTCACAATATGAAATTTCCTTCACAAAATTTCTGTTTTTTTCTATTTCCTCTGTGTATTCTATGATGCAACTAGACTACCCAACATTTCTTTGCCTTTTCTCTTGCCAGTTATTTCACCTATAATAACTGCTAAATGCTCTTCCTATCTTTGCCAGCGTAAACTATATATACTCCTCAAAACCTGAAATCTGGAATTTGCTCCCTCCCCACCATTCCTTCATACCCTCAGATAGGGGTTAATCTCTACTATTGTGATCTTAGAATTTTTGTGTGGTTTTTGAACTAATACTGACATATTTTTTTTATATATTCATCTTATACTTACAAATTTCCTAATTGACTGGATACTTCCTAAGGGTAAGAACTATTTATAGTAAATACTTAACTGTTCCAAATTGTGGATGTTGGGAAAACATTACAAATTGTATGGTTCCTTTAACTTTAAATGAGTTTGATGTAACAGTATGAATAATATACCAGAAGCCCATTGTGCAACTTAAAGAAAGTCTCAGTTCAAAACTACCAGCTGTTCCACTGGAGAAATATGAGGCTTTCTGCTCCTGTAAAGATTTACAGCCTTGGAAACCTTGTACAGGGTCGCTATGAGTTACAACCGACTCCACAGCACATAACCACCACCACCATCCTGGTGTGGCACTGAAGGATAAGCACTTCTAACCATAAGACCAAGGAACTTAACTCCTGGCAAACCTTATACAGGGTGGCTATGATTCAGAACTGATTTTGTTGTGAAGTGCCATCGAGTTAGTTCTGACTCATAGCCACCCTATATAGGACTTCCAAGGTATAGGTGGTAAGTCTGAACCACCAGCCTTGTGGTTCAAACTGACCTTCCTGTCCAGTGCTTATTCTATAGCACCACACCAGGATTCCAAGAACTGACTAGATGGCACTTAACAACAATAACAGCCACAACCATTTACAGGAAGAAAAGACAAAGGAAGAAATTCAAAGGGAAGAAAGAGGAGGATAAAGAGGGAAAGGCTGTGTAAAAGTTCAGAAATATGATGGTGGAACTGGTTATGTGCCATCAAATTGGTTCTGACCCATAGTAACCCTGTTTCCAAGGAGCAGCTGGTAAGCTTGAATGGCTGACTTTGTGGTTCAAACCAACTTTGCAGTCCAGCGCATTAACCCACAGAGCTACAACAGGACTCCAGAAATAGGATAGGACTGCATATAAATCAAAGTCTTATACACAGTAGCTGTGAAACAAATTGACTTGTGTACTTGCTGAAAATCAATCAAAGTTTTGGTTTTCAGACATCTTTCCAATTATACCTTAAGTTCCTTGAGTGTCAGAATGGTGTCTTCTGGGATACGCATTTTTCATAACTTTTAGTACCATAGGTTTTGAGGTGATTAAAATACATATGTCCTTAATAAATTTCTGTTAATTTACTAATTGATAGATTAATACTGGGACACGTGTGTTTAGGTTTTGGGATTTGGGGACCTGGTTTGATTCACTAAAGTCAACAGTCAGATAACAATGAAAGATGCCAACAAAAAAGCATGGGCTTATGTGTTTAATGAAAGCATTCCTGGGCACTCATGACATAACTAGATAGTAAGAAGAGTCACATTATAATAAAAACACTAGAATTAGCATATCCAAAGAGCTCCTCTGGAGAGGCAACAGCACTTATTACCAAGATATCACCAGAATTTAAAATATTTTAGAAACTTCTTTTGGGATATCTTTCACCATTGCCTATTGGTATATAGAAAGTTCCCATTGTCTAATGGTATACCAGCATATGGAAATGATAAAGCATTATTCATACCCAGTTAGGCAAATTAGGTAAATAATATGATCAAGCTATTTAATACAGTTTGGAATCAAAAGTAGGTAAGTATTGAAGCCAATTTTCTGTCAAAACTGACAAACTCATTCTAAAACCTTACCGTAATCCCAGTCCTGTGAGGGACTTTCCAAAAAGTTTACACTACTGAAAGAAGGGCAGAGTCTTCTAAGGTAACTACTAAGCTGAAAGGAAAACAACTTTTTAAAATGTATAATTTTTGACATATTCATTAAAAAAAATAGACATAACCTCATTACTAGCACATTATGTATTATATCTACAAATATGTGATCATATGCTAATACCCTAATATATTAGCATATGACATTAGTAAATTATTGGTGCTCAAGTTTTAAACTAGAATATTCCAAGTAATAAAATAAGTGTAAGCTAATTTGATAATAGATTCATTCACATCATATATTTAGGAGGAGGTCACCATATACCTAAAGACCAAATTAAGAATTAAGGGTGGTGTTAAAATACGTTTAATTTTAATTTAACATAAGATTTTCTGTAAACATGAAACGTCTATGAAAAATGGGAAAAAATCCATTTCCTTACACACGCACTCACAGATGAATACTATTAAACAATTTGTACATATTGATAAATTTTAGTTCTTTTTAATTCTGAGAGCTTGCCATGACTCATTCTGTTTCAAGGAGTGAGTGTGATTAATATTTACTACAGATTTTTCTCAGATAGCCTGACCAGCCGAATGGGTCTTTTCAAAATATAGACTCTTTTCATAAAAGGTTTGCATATTCCTCATTTGCCTGACCTAAACAGTCTTGAAATCATTCACAGACAGCAAAGACTTATCTTTTTCTACTATCATCTGTTAACTTTTTTTCCCTCCTCCTCATTTTGTCATATCAGTAGAAAATACAACAGGAAATTACATCCGTGTTGCTAGAATGTCATTTGGAGATGACTTCAATGAGTCAACATGCTTCAGATAAACTAAAAATCAGTAACATTTACAGATCTTATTTTGTGTCTGAATAATGTCTGTGTCCCACCATCCTGACTGAAAATAGTATCTTGCCATAATCAAAGTAAGTAGATATTACAGGTGACAATTGCCAGAAGCTTAATCTGTCCCTCAGAGCAACTCCAAGGATCCCTGGTAATGCAGTGGTTAAGCATTTGGCTACTAACTGAAAGGCTGGCAGTTCAAAGCCACAAGTCACTCTAAAGGAGAAAGATTAACAGGCTGCTTCTGTTCAAGATCATAGCCTTGGAAAATCTATGGGGCAGTTCTACTCTGTCCTGTAGGGGGCACTGTGGGTTGGGATCAACTCAAGGCAGTCAGTTTGGTTTTGACATGGAGGTGCTCCAGTTCTTCTGTTTCATTTATAATCAGTAAATTACAGCTTTGATAACACCAGTAAACATTTTACCAGCTCATGATTGGTTTAATAGTAGTCGTTGTTGGCAAGTGCCATTGAGTAGGTTGCGACTCATAGCGACCCTGTATAGGGTTTCCAAGGAGCAGCTGGTGAGCTTGAACCACTGACCTTGCAGTTCAAACAGCTTTGCAGTTTGGCGCATTAACCAACAGCGCCACACCAGTACTTCTTAATAGTATTAGTAGCAATATTTTAAATCAGATCATGGTTAGATCATTATTATTTTTTAAAATCATCCTGTCCTACCCTAGGAACTTCGCTGCTTATAAAATCAATCAACTAAATTTGATGTCCACTCCTATTAGAAAAAAATGACTATTTTCAAGGAATCTTTTGTTTCATCAAAAATCTAATAAATAAGATTGTTGAGACACTGATTGATAACATCTGAGGTCTGGGCAGGCCAAGGCCTGAGTGTCTTCCTGAGAGGATTGTTGAGAATCAAATGTGGCAAAGTAGCTAAAGAGAGCTTTCTGAAAGTTAGAAGCACTAGGGCTTGGCCTGCCCAGACCTGCATCAAAAATTCATTGCAATCCACAGTTACAGCAACACACAGGGGCAGACAGCTGTTAGCGCACCGCTACACCTAAGCCATGGACAAAGGCATTGTAAAGAACATATGGAACTCCCCCTGCAAGCTCTGTTAATCTTTCCCATAGTATACAGAAAGATTTCAGAGTACAGGGACATCATTGAATTCAGAAACCATACACTGCAGCTAATTCACTAATAAGCCATGAAGTATTGTCATAAATTACTTAAACTAACTGGTACTTGTCCAATTAAGTGAACAAACTATGCCCTACAAGGTAGTGGCCTTGAGGATTTATGGCAGTTGTTTATTTGCATGCTAATTTGCCAGATTTTGTTGAGCTGCTCTGGGTCTACTCATTCACTTTATGTTAACCAGCCAGGTCCTACAGTGCTCATATTTTCAGCTCTGTGTTTTTCTAGTCAAGAGCATGACCATTTTTAATCTCGACAAGGTTCCTTGCACATTAACAGTGGAGACCATGTATAAGCAGCAAATGCATGGTGACAGTCTGCATTATAGATGATGGAGTAGGGTAACTGACGTGAGAGTTTAGTTAGGATGCCACGGGTGCTGCACACAGAGACTGTTAAGAGGAAATTTGCAGGGCTCTCTTGCTCCATTTCCCATCCCCTATCAAAGCCTGGTTTCTGACAAGGATCAACATGGCAAGCAGAGACAAGTCTCCATAAATGAAAATGGGGGAGGAAAAAAGCATACATTAAATTCTCAATTTATGCAGGTCTGCAAACCCAGACCAAGGTCAATAGATACCCATTTAATGTCTTCTTTCATATATTCCTCTTGTTCCAGAACAAACGTGTGCCAGTTGAAGAACTGTTGCCATTTTTCACTGGTAAAATTAATGCACAGTTGCTCAAGGTTGTTATACATCAAAGACAAGACTGGGTAAGAGTAAAAGATAAAAACAAAACTGAGGTCCACTTGGAAGAATGTAAAGAGAAACCATAATCACTATTGGCAAATATATCCCAAAAGTAGTAAATGTTTAATTAAATGTTTTCCCCCTTCAGATATACCCAGAAACCAAAGATAACTATAATAAAATAACACATAATGGTATTGTCATTCAAAACCATAACCAATTCCTTTTCTTCTATTTACCTTTACATAGGATGAATTGTATAATTGTATAAGTAACAAGAATGAATAATTCTGACTACAATAAAGTAATTAAGAATTATTCTCAACCAAGTTAGCTGTGAAGGTTTAAACAGAGTAATTCCAATCATGCTTTGACTAGACATTCTGACTTTCAATTCACATTTGGTAAACGTCTTGTAAATATGCATTGACTTTATTCTTTCCACATATACTTACATCAAGTATTTCAAAGCCAGTAACATCAAGAATATCAATGAAGCACTGCCTTGGCAGCTTGACATCCAGGGCCCTGTTGATCCATGCCACCAGCCACTTAAACATCCTTTCATATACTGACTTGGACAGGGCACCCACAGCATAGGATACTTAGCACATTGAAAGTGCTGCTTCATCTGGAAGCTGTCTTAGTTTTCATCTTGGGCGTTCTCTATCAGCAACCACCTTCTAGCCAAATCAAGATGTATCTATTGACCTTTTGTTCTAGGATTCTGCTAAGTGCAATGAGGAAAAAAGGAAGAAAAAGGGCAAGGAAGGGAAAGGGGAAAGGTGATGGAAAAAAGGAAGTGGGGAAAAAGATAGGTGGTAGGCAGGGGGAGCTGGCCTGGTATCTCCCTACCAATAGCGTATATCAGAGAATCATGCTCCTGTTATTAAAGGTCTAATAAAGGACAGAAAAATTGATGCATTCAAACTGTGGTGTTGGCAAAGAATACTGAATGTGTCATGTACTGCCAAAAGAACAAACAAATCAGTCTTAGAAGAAATACAACTAGCATGTTTCCTAGAAGCTAAGATAGTGAGACTTCAGCTCAATTACTTTCAACACATCACTAGGAAAGACCAATCACTAGAAAAGGACATCATGTTTGGTAAAGTAGAGGGTCAGTAAAAGGCAGGGAACCCCACCCCCAGTGAGATGGACTGCAACAATGAATTCAAACATTCTAAGGATCATGAAGATGACAAAGGACCGTTCTTTCATACGTTAGGTTGTCATGAATCATAGAGCAATTAAAACACAGTAAAATCCTGGTATGTGGTTCTAGAACATTTCTGTTGCAAGTCAGGTCCTAAGAATAGCAGCATAGGTATCACCTGAAAGCTTGGTAAAGCTGTATGCTCTCAAGCTTCACTCCAGACCTAGTGAATCAGAATCTGCTTTGTAATAAGATACCCAGATGATTTCTATGCACAATAAAATTGGAAAGGTACAGGTATAGTAGGTTAGGAACCTACTCCTTGTCTTGTTGCTACTGCTGCTGCTAACTAACTGTGTGATCTTTGGAGAGTGATTCAACTTCTCTGGGCTGCAACAACTTCATCTGAATAATACTGTTGAACGTCTTTTCTAGCTCCAGCTTCCACCGTCTATATTATGAGTTCCCAGTGTTGCTTTTAGCTCCCTGTAGGAGATTGACAAGTTGATGCATCGTACTGACTCAGATTCTTGAATTGTAAAGTCGAGGCTACATTTCCCTTTCCTTGGGTATGACAGAACCCCTGAAGTGGTCTACTAAGGAGAGCTTCAACCTCTGTGCCTGGAAAATGCTGTATGAATGCAGATTCTGCTTCCCTAAAGCAAAGGCACTGCTGTAGTAACGGGTTTTTGACAGACAAGTAGGAGTGAATTTCAGCTGGACATTCTCCAAGCCTGGAAACCAAATGTGCTTCAACCACTTAACATTTAAAACAGGCCTATCACATCCATCCTTCAGCTGCCCAGGAGACAGCACGCAGCAGAAACCAGTTGGTGTCTGCTGGTGATTTAGTTATGAGTCACCCACTCTCTGATCAGCTATCTTGAGTCATTTCCACAGTAATCCATAAGCTGGATGGCATCTCCGTTTTTTATTACCAGCGTCAAGAGCACATCCTTACAAATAAAGCTCCAGGAATGATTTCCATCATCTATAACACCAAAGAAATTACCCTCGGTTTATAGCAGTCACTTTGAAACTTTAAAAAAGAATATGACTAACTTGTTCACCCCTTTGAATTCCCTAAATACTCTACAAGTAGGGGTGGGAGAGAAACTATTTGACTAGGGGAGTGATGAAGAAACACAGAAAGAAAGCTGAAGATGCAGGCAGAGAGAGAAGTAGATGGTTTCCGGTTTGCAGAATGCCAAATTTCTAAATGTTATAATGAATTAATGAATCCAATATGTTGCTTATTAATTAACCATTTCAATAATTTTCACCATTTCATGCCCAATGAAAGAGAAAGGAGACAGCTAAACCATATTTCTATTTTTTCAATGTCTATTGGTTTTGTTGTTAAATGCCACTGAGTCTGTTCCAACTCATAACAACTCTGTATAGGGTTTCTGAGGAGCAGCTGATAGATTTGAACTGCTGACCTTGTGGTCAGCTGTACAGTGCTCATCCTATAGCACCACACCAGGGCTTAAGTGGATCCACTTGTTAGCTTTTTAAAAAGTAATTTCACATGCTATTGTTGTTAATTGCTGTTGTGTCGATTCTGACTGATGGAAACCCTGTGTATGCAATGCTTGCAGAGTGTAAGTACTCCACAGGGTTTTCAAGGGCATGACCTTTCAGAAGCAGATTACCAGAGCTATCGCTCAAGGTGTCTCTGGGTGGATTTAAACCATCAAAAACCTTCATTTAGCAGTTATACACGTCATTGCTTTTACCACCCAGGGACTTCATATAAGACTTTGATTACTGAGGTTAACAGTGCATGAGAGAGGAAAAAAAAAAAAAAATGGAAGAAACAAAACATGAAGTCAAGTAGCCAAATTTTTAACCACCTTGAATTATGATTTTCTCTTTTGAAAAAAATAAAAAGATTATATATAATCTGTGTTGTGTGAGGGTCAGTGAGACAGAGTATGAAAACATATCTAGCACAACATCTGGCACTCCGTATTCAGCACATGTTAGTAATAGGTTTCCACCTTGATCACTTCCTCACCCTGGCCCAGTTTATTACTGTGTAACCCGGAGCAGTTCGTTAACCTTTCTAAATCACATTTCCATTTTTGGAAATTTTAGTAAGACCAGCATTACTGGTTGCTATGTTAAATGACATAATCCATATAAACCACTTAGCATAGTGCCCATAGTGACTGTTAATTAGATATTGGTTTTTAATTATCATTTAATCATCAATCTTTTTAATATTAAAATGACTGATTTCTAATTGTCATAGTTAGAACTCTCAGAGAACTTAAAACAAACCTAAAGAAACTTAGTATTTGATAATCGTGCATAGTTGCTCTTAATATAGATGTTTTCTGATTAATACAATGACTGTAAGTGCTGGAAGAATGACTAAAGGATTGGAGGAAGACAATTTGCAGATGGTAGTACAACCTTGCTTGCTGAAAGTGATAAGAACTCAACAAAGTTGCTGATGAAGATCAAATACCACCATCTTTGGTATGGGCTACACCTCAATGCTAATTAAACACATGTCCTTACCACTGTAGCAATAAATAACATCATGAAAATAGAGAAAATATTGAAGTTGTTAAAGGCATCACTTTGCCTGGATCCACATCAATAGTCACAGAAGTAATAGTCAAGAAATCAAATGACATATTTCAGTAGGCATATCTGCTACACAAGACCTCTTTAAAGTGTTCAAGAGCAAAGATGTCAGTTTCAGGACCCAGGTGTGCCTAACCCAAGTCATGGTATTTTCAAAAGTCTCATATGCATGTGAAAGTTGGAGAATGAATAAGAAAGACTATAGAAGAATTGATTCATTTGGGTTATGGTGTTGGAGGAGACTTAAAATACCATGGACTGCCAGAAGAACAAACAAACCTGTATTGGAAGAAATCCAGCCAGAATGCTCCTTAGAAGCCAAGGTGGCCAGATTTCATCTCTCATACTTCAGACATATTATCAGGAGGCGATTAGTCCCTGGAGAAGGACATTATGCTCGATAAAGTGTAGGGTCAACACAAAAGAGGGAGCCCCCGAATGAGATGGATTAACACAGTGGCAGCAGTGATGGGCTCAAATGTATCAATGATTGTGAGGTTGGCACAGGACTGGGCAATGTTTTGGAACTTACAAGATGACACCTAACCACAATGTAAGTGCTACTGGTGTTTAGCACCTGGGGGCTAAGGATATCACACATACTACAATGTGCAGAACACTGTCACATAAGAATTGTCCCACTTCAAGTGTCAATCATCCTCCCATCAAGAAACAGAGAGGAGTTCAAAATTTTCACTGGGCAGCTCAGAGAAATGAAGATATCTGACCAAGTTTCCAGAGTTAGTAAGCACTAAGCTAGAACTAAATTTTTAACAGAGCATTAACACTGCAAAAATTTTTCTCATCTTCTGAGATTGTCATCAACAGAGCATACACATCTCTATTCTTAGCCATGCCAATTGCCTCTATAAAGTCAGTAAGAGTCCAAAGAAAAGAAAGGCCTTACAGTGTGCTTTCTTACTCTGTCTCCTGGAGGAAAAATAAAGAGAGCAAGGCCGAGTTTTTCTTTTCTTTTTTGTTTTCAATGTTGACTAATAGTATGCTAATTTGCTTAACTGGGTCTATTGTAGTAAATGCTGGTATGGTAACTCTGTCCCTTTGAACAAAATATTAAAGAGGCAAAGTTTTTATTTCAGTTCTCCTACTGGTATGGCGCTATGGATTAATGCATCAGACTGCAAAGTCATTGCAAGGTCAGTGGTTCAGGCTCACCAGCTGCTCCTTGGAAAACCTAAAGAAAAAGGTCGTTATGGGTTGGAATCGACTCCACAGCACTTAACAACAACATTGACACTGTGAAGTCTTGGTGTGGTGTTGTGGGTTAATGTGATGCACAGCAAAGTCAGCTTGAACTGCAAGGTCTGTGGTTCAAGCTCACCAGCTGCTCCTTGGAAACCCTATATAGGGTCACTATGGGTCAGAACTGACTTAACAGCACTTACCAACAACAGCAACAAAATTAAGGAGCCCTGTTGCCACTGTGGGTTAAGTGTTGGGTTTCTAATCACAAGTTTGGCAGTTCAAGTCCACCAGCTGCTCCTCACGAAAAAGATGAGGCTGTCTGCTACAATAAATGTTTATAGTCTGAGAAGCCCTATGGAGTGGTTCTACTGTGTCCTATAGGGTCATTGAGTCAGGATCAACTCAAGGCACTGGGTGAGGTTTGGTATGGGCTGTAGAGTTTTATAGAGAGAAAGACACTGTTCTATAATCATAGCATGTCGTGCAAGTATTTGTGAGGAATATCTAAGAAAAAAGAACTACCAAACACCTTCAAACTTACTACTCAAAAATAGGTCAACTACTTATTCTGCTGATCATGACTGAAGTTTAACTTGATTTAGTTTAACAATTATGGCGCATCTATGGCTTTATAGGTGCTTGGGATACTAAGATGAATTAGACACAGCCCATGCCCTCAAAGAGGTCAGGTTATCAGAAAAAAAAATAATAATAAATATATCTCTGGTAGCGTAGTGGTTACGAATCGGGCTGCGAACCATAAGGTCAGCGGTTCAAAACTACCAGCTGCTCTGCGGGAGAAAGATGAGGCTTTCTACTCCCGTAAGGATTTACACCCTCGGAAACCCTGTACAGGGCCGCTATGGGTCGGAACCGACTCGACTGCACTTAACAACAACAACATATATATATATACAAATAATTTCAGTGCAGTAATATTAAGGGACCTTGGTGGAGTACCAGTGAAGCCCAACTCCTATCTGAAAGGTTCACAATTGGACCTATCCAGTGGCTCTGCAGGAAAGAGGCCTGGAAACTTATTTCCATAAAGACTGCAACCTAGAAAACCCTCTGTTCTCCTCTGTCATATAGTTTTATATGAAGTTGCTATGAGTCAGGAATGTTTTTATGGCATTCAACAACAATAATAACATAGTAGATGGTAAAGGTAGAATTACTGATTTAAGTAAGCTAAACTAGAAAATTGGCTTTGATTAGTTGTTTGAAATAACATAGATACATGAGATACCTTAATCTGCCAAGGAAATACAGTTTATTGTAAAAATGACTCTGTCTTCTCTCAAGAATTTGTGTATTTGTGTATCTCTTTTTCAGATTTTGGAAACAAGTGAAGTAAGACAGTCTGAGGACCACCTAAATACCAGCTGTGTACCCTTTGGCATGTTACTTATGTTTCCAAAGCTTCAGTTTTCTCAAGTGGAAAAAACATGAGTTAAATATTCCCAATTCACTTACAATGGGAACCCTGGTTGGCACAGTGGATTAAACAGAAAGTTTGGCAGTTTTAACTCACCAGCTAGCTGTTCCATGGAATAAAGCTGACACAGTATGCTTCCATAAAGATTTATACCCTCAGAAACCCTGTGGTAGTTCTACTCTCTCTGGTAGGGTTACTGTGAGTCAGTACTTACCTTACAGATAAAACTTGTGAATGTTTATACATGTTTACAATAAAGACAAGTCTTTCTCTTCCCAAAGAGACATTTCCCAACCCACCTGGAGTTGAGGGGATAATTTGACTAATCCTCACCAATATTCATGAAAATTAGCTCCAAGCAGTTGAGAGTGAATATGCTTTCTCCACAAATTCCCCTTTCCCCATGTACAGCAGTTTTGGAGGCTGTATTCCAGATGACGTAACTAAAATGAAAGCCTCCCAATCTGTTGTATTGGGCTTCATGTAAGCTCAATTTTTTTGTTGTCACTAAGATGTTAATGTGTATGTGTTACTGCAGCACAGCCTATCTCATGGATACACTTGGCACATGTAAATTATTATTTTGTTTTGTACTAACACTTAGCTGGTTTCAATACTCAACAGTCCTGGAAACATTTACTACACTAAGGCAAAGTCCCAGGATCAACATCCCACAGTGAGTCACTATTCTACCATTTTAACTTTCTCCCAGATGCTGAACAAAACCAACACAACCTTCCATCTTTCCATTCTCAATCTGCCCTACCATACAAATACAAACTTCATAGTATGTTCTGAGGCTCTTTCTCTACAAATACATCCCCATGTTCAGTTACTCTAAATAAGTTAGTATTCAAATAGTGAAGGATGTCAACTTTCCAACAGTTTTCATCTCAGGAAACTATAACTATGAAAATGTGTTACTGGACAACAAAGATAGTCACCATAACAAATGAAGAGCTTTCTTTCATTTGCAAAAAACACTTGTTACCTAAGGGAAACGGTCAAAATAGTTTATTTGATACTTGAAAGACTCAGCAAAAGATCATCTGCTGTGGTGCATCCAACCAGAAACAGTTGGAGTAGTCCTCACAGTAGCTCTTCTTTGCTTTTCTAGAAGCTCTTGCTGAAGGCATCTTCAGTAGTTGAAAAATACACATGTAAAATATGTATACATTATTATAAAATTATGGCATCATAATGCTGTTGAAATGACACCTTATCTGCTCTACAATTTCAACTCTGGTAACATATTCACTGACAACTTTGATTCTGGGATAGTTCAAGCCCTTCACCAACTCAGAGTAGTTGATGTCCATGAGCAGAGCAAAATTTTAAGCTTAAAAAGTTAAACATAAAGTTATCACATGACTTATCAATTCCACTCCTAGTTATACAGCCAAAAATTTGAAAGCAGGCACTCAAATGAATATATGAGTATAACAATATTCATTACAGTATTTTTGCAATAGTCCAAAAGTGGAGACAACACCCAAGTGTCCATTAACAGATGAATGGATAAGCAAAATGTAGTCTGTAGATACAGGGGAATATTACTCATCCACAAAAAAGAATGAATACTAATGCATGCTAGGATGTGGGTGAACCACATAAACATTATGCTAAGTTAAAGAAGCCAGCTACAAAAGGCCATAAAAATGTATGATTCTATTTCTATAAAATGTCCAGAATTGGCAAATCCATAGAGTCAGGGAGTAGATTCATGGTGACAGGTGGCTGGGGAAAAGGGGAAATGGGAATAACTGCCAATGGGTCTGGATTTCTGGATTGAGATGGTGACAATGGCTGCACCGCATTGTGAATATGTTAAAGACCACTGGATTTTACACTTTTAAAGCTATGGTGGCTTAGAGGGTTAGTGTTGGGTGTGGTCGTCCATTTGAATCTGCCAGCTGCTCCATGGGAGAAAGATGAGACTTTCTGTTCCACAGAGATTTATAGCCTTGGAAACCTACACAGGGTCACTATGAGTTGGAACACACTTAACAGCACACACCAACAAAGGATTGATTTTATGGTATGTAAATTATATCTCAATAAATTTATAAAAGAATCTCTTTCTTGATATTTGTTGTTGTTAAGTGCTGTGGAGTCAGTTCCAACTCACAGCAACACTGTATAGGAATCAGTTCCAACTCACAGCAACACTGTACAGGGAAGCAACTGGTGGGTTTGAACCACTGACCTTGCAGTTAGTTGTCCAGAGGCTTATCCTACATGGAAATTGTCCTTTGTATCATTTGCCTACTTTCTTGTTTTATATATATATCATATATAACATATATATATCATATATATATGCTTCAAAATAAAATGGAATGAATACACAGTCACTGTACCAAAAAGAATTGATTGACATTCAAACATTTCAATAGATAGCATATGATCAAGAACCAATGGTATTAAAGGAAGACGTCCAAACTGCATTGAAGGCATTGGTGAAAAACAAGTCCCCAGGAATTGCTAAAACACAAATTGAAATGTTTCAACAAACATGATGTAGCACTGGAAGTGTTCACTTCACTATGCCAAGAAATTTGTAAGACAATTACCTGCCCAACCAAATGAAAGACATCTATATTTGTCCCCACTCAAAGAGTAGTGGCCCAAAGGAATACAGAAGTCATCGAACAATATCATTAATATCACATGCAAAAGTAAAATTTTGCTGAAGGTAATTCAAAAATAGTTGCAGTGGTATATCAAAAGGGAGCTGTCAGAAATTCAAGCTAAATTCAGAAGACAACATGGAATGAGGGATATCATTACTGTCAGATGGAAAATACAAGAAAGATGTTTATTTGTGCTTTACTAACTAGGCAAAGGCATTTGACTGTGTGAAACATAACAAACTATAGATAACATTGTGAAGAATGGGTATTCCAGGACACTTAATTGCTTAATTGTGCTCATGAAGAACATGTACATAGACCAAGAGGCAGTTATTCACATAGAACAAGGGAATGCTGAATGGTTCAAAATCAGAAAAGGTATGCATCAGAGTTGTATCCTTTCACTATACTTATTCAATCTGTGTACAGAGCAAATAATTCGAGAAACTGGATTATATGAAGAACTTGGCATAAGGATTTGAAGAAAACTCATTAACAACCTCCAATATGCAGATAATACAATCTTGCTTGCTGAAGCAGAGAGGATTTGATGTACCAACTAATGAAGATCAAAAACTATAGTCTTCAGTATGGATTACACCTCAATGTAAAGAAAATGAAAATCCTCACAAATGTTATTAATAAATAACATTATGATAAGTGGAGAAATGATCGAAGTTGTCAAAGACTTAATTTTGCTTGAATCCACAATCAACACTCAAGAATCAAACAGCATAGTACATTTGGCAAATCTGCTGCAAAAGACCTCTTTCAAGTGCTGAAGAGCAAAGATGTCACTCTGAGGACTAAGTTGTGCCTGACACAAGTCATGGTATTTTCATTGGCCTCATATTTATGTGAAAGCTGGAGAATGAATAAGAAAAATCATAGAAGTGTTAATGGTATTTGTGATGTGGTATTGATAAGTAATATTGAAAGTACCATCGACTGCCAGAAAAGAAACAGGTCTGTATTGGGAGAAGTGCAGCCAGAAAGTTTCTTAGAAGTGAGGGTGGTATAGACTTTGTCTTTTGAACATGTTGTCAGGAAGGACCAGTCTTTGGAGAACGACATCATACTTGGTAAAGTGGAGGGTCAGTGAAAACGTGGAAGACAGTCAACAAGATGGATTGATACAGTATGCTCATACAAAACAACATATGTAAGGATGACACAGGACTGGGCAGTGTTTTGTTTTATTGTGTATGAAGTAGCTATGAGTCAGAACTGACTCGGTAGCACCTAACAACAACAGAAAATGTATATACTTGTAAATTCTTTCAATGAATTAAGGATTTGAACTAGGAAATTCATAAATCAAAACAACTATGGTACTGTAAGATAATATGCTGGATCTCAAGGTCAGTTTGAGCCACAAGCTCGGCGGTTCAAACCCACCAGCCACTCCTTGGAAACCCTATACAGGGTCACTATGAGTTAGTTGGAAAGGACTCAACAGCACTTTACAACAAGACCATCAGTTAAAAATCTTTTTCTGTGAAGTCTGTTACTTCACAGTGCCCTCTGCTGTCCAACAAGAAGTCTTACCACAAAATATTTTGTAACACAAAGCTTCCATCTTCTACAGGGCTTCAAATCAGTTCGGCCTGGTTTAGTCATGACGGACAAAGAGATACTGAAATGAACCCAGATTTTTAAAATATAGACAAATGGGAACACTAACTGGAACAGAAAAAATTATAGGTGGAAACCCTGTTAAAAACTTAAACTTCCTCTTAGGAAAAAAAGGCAGTATGTACTTTACACTGCAACCAAATCTTTTGACTGACTGAATCGAAAACAGTGATGCCCGGCTCAAAAATGGTAGCAAACTGCCCCACTTTGAATGTTTGTAGCTCTCTACAGACCTGGTTATTATTCAGTTTCATGCTTCTGGCACCTGAAAGGTCTCATTATGCCTCATCAAAGTCTCCATTCCAGGCTTTCAACCCATAATTTTTCCTATTCCTGTTAGTATTTTGGATCACCTAAATTTTGTAAATTTGGGTCTTTCAAGTTTTCTCTGTCAGTCATGACTGAACTGACTCAAACCAGTTTAAAACCTTAATTTTACAAGGGGAAAAAAGGGAGAAGAATTAATATTACAAGAAAGAAAAATAAGTATCCATAATACCAGGTGTTTATAAATAGCAATAACACAAAAGAAAGCCATAGGCAAAAAAAGTTTTAACTATATTTCAAAATTGTAGAGAGCTTCTGTTACCAAAGAAAACAGATACCTCTGTTGTGTAAAACCTCTCTGTTACTTTCCCTACTATAAAGGAATCCTGAGCTATACTGGTATATGTGAAGTATTCATTCAGAAGAACAATGTCTTACAATAGAAGACAACGCAATCTTTTCTTTAACAGAACAAGTATAACATTTTCTGAGCACATTTCATAAAACCAAACCAAACTATACCCAGTTCCATCAAGTTGATTCTAACTCACAACTACCCTATAGGACAAAGTAGAACTTCCCCCGACTGGGTTCCCAAGGCTATAAATCTTTACTGGAGCAGACAGCCTCATCTTTCTCCCACAGAAGGATTAGTGGGTTCAAACTGACAACCTTTCAGTAAGCAGCCCAAAACTTCAACTATTGAACCACCAGGACTCCTCAATATCCATAAACAGGGAACAAGAAATTTTTAAAAACACATTTAGAGAGCTCTAAAGAGGGACAAGTTGCTGGAGAAGGATATCATGTTTAGTAAGGTGGAGGGTCAAGGAAAAAGAGGAAGACCCCCAGCTAGATGGATTGGCCAAGTAGCAGCAGCAATGGGCTCAAGCATGGCAACAGTTGTGAGGTTGGCCCAGGGTCAGGCAGTGTTTCATTCTTCTGTGCATAAGGTCACTATGGGTCGGTACTGACCTGATGGCACCTAACAACAACAACATGACATTTGTATTATTGGTACCAATTTATTTTATGTGACCCCTTAAATTTTTCACAGGGCTTAAAAAGTTTAAATTGTTTTATTTCCTTTTAACTAGATAGATACATATTATATATATATTTCTAGATGCTATACATCTACTCTGTATCAGCTATTTGTAATGATAATGATCTGGATACTCAATTGCTATGAAACTTCAAGATTTAAAGCCTATTTGGAAAAATAAATGGAAAATCAAAAGTAGAGCATCCTTTGCGAAGATATCCCTGCTAAGAGTTCCAGGTTAAGATTCAAAAGCCTGATTATTTGAAGTTGAGAATCTAATAGGTCAGAATCATAGACTTTTGAACTAGAGAATTCAGAGGTCATCTAATCCAATGTGAGCATACTTAAAAGAGGGGGAGAGATGTTATATACTTTATCAATGTGAATGAGGATGAATAGTAACTGACAATGTGAAAAAGGAACACTTCTACAGTATCTGTCCAAGAAAGGGGGGAAAAAAGGCAGTGAGTTGGTTTTCTAAGCTTTGGGAGCATTCAGATATACAGTATAGGTAATAATAGTCTCAAATAATTGCTTCCAACACTAAAAGTCTTCACACATTCTTTTTCCAGCGTTAAGGTCAGTCCTTTGAGTCTATTATTACCCATGAACAAAGGAAGCACAAATACTTAGTACAGTATCCTATCTTCAACTGTAACAGAAATAGAATCGAATGTTACGGAATTATTTCTCGCTGTTCCAGAAATAGTCGTGTTTCTACAGACAGAAGACTGGTGGA